TGCGGCCATCTTCTAATAATTTCAGAAAATAAAATAATAAAAAATACCTATGAAAAGATTTGCTTACATAAATGCTGAAAATAGTTAAGGATAGTGGGGGGGGGTCAAAACTGGGGAAATATTTTGTCTTTGTGCATTAAATACTCCTTCAATTTATCACTTATCTTATCACTGAGTTTATTTTTAAGTACAAACAGAATTTATAAATTCGGTTATTTATAAGCACAGAATGATCAATTCTGTACAGTAGGTAAAATTTTACTGCCCAAATTCAAATTAGTTTCAGGCAAACTATGTACCATAATAGGCTCCATGAACTTTTTTTTTAGAAATAAATCTCAATCTCAGATATAGTTTAACATAAAATTACTAAAAAAAATGAGTTAAAGAGTTAATAATTCAAATAGTTTTGGAAAAACTAATTTTTTTTTTTACAACAATACATAAAAATTTCGGATTCAAAAATAAAATCAGATGCTGATAGCAAGTTTATACATTTAAGTAATAAAGAATTTATTTCGAATTATATACCTCTCAATTATGAACTTTCAACTTATAAATACAATTTATTTTCCTCAAACACCATCTTCTAGTTGCATAATAAGATATATTCAATGCCCGACTAATTTCTCTGGTGGATTTTCGATCCTCATAAAGTGCCACTATTTTGCCTCTTAGAATGTCGTCGCAGTGGAACATTTTTTCCTCTAACTTAACAATTAAAATTAGCAAAGCTCTAATTGAAATTAGTAAATCTATAAATAATCTACAACTGCAAAGTACAATGAAAAACTCCAAGTAAAATTGACTTTACAATTTACTAGAGACCAGGACGTTGACGCCAACTTTTGACGAATTTTAATTTTTTCGAAGATTTGAAACTCTTTTTTTTTTTTTAATCTGAACTTTCATTTAGAAAAATTAAGTTTTTACGCTCGTTGTAGCAAACATATGTATTTTAATATTTTACCAGGACTTATATGTCCTTAATTAAGTAAGAAAACTGTGGTATCAGTTATCGTAATTATAAAGTTATCATTAAATTTAAAATTGAAATTTTGAAACTCAAAATTTCGTGACCAAATATTTACGAGTTTTTAAAATTAAATGTGGAATGTTGTGGAGAATATAAACGTAGTAAAATACATCTTCTCGTATCAGATGTCGGTAGTGATGGTGAGAATCGTGAAATAAGTTTGTAAATAAAGGAATAAAACAAAGAGACTTTAGTAGCCATATTTGGTGATAAGTAAGTCCGGATTGGATTTGCGCATGGTAAAAATATAAATTTAGTTAACAAAGAAATTTTTAATTATAGCAATACAATTAACTCAATGATTTTATATAGAATTTAATTACATTAGTTGAATATTCAATATTTGGATATCCAATATTGGATATCCAATAATGTTGAATCTCCAATAATAATGGATATCCAATAATATTGGATATCCAATATTTTTTTATTAAATTTTGGAAGAGTTCGTCTATTTGCTTTTTCGATAAATAAAAATTACTACAAGCTCTTTTAATTCTATTCATTTGTTTAAAAAGTTTATTTAAATAAATACTTTTAGAATCATTAGAATTCCATGTAATTAGTATATTCATTTTAAATTTAAAATAATTTCGCTAATCCATTAAATCAACAATACAGATATATTTTTTGATAATTAAATCCCCAAAAATATTTAATTACCGTTATGGTCTTGATTACGAAGCAAGATTAATTCTTCGAGGTAAATATTATTTAACAAAATTGTATAATTTTGAAAATTAAAGATAGTTAAATTATCAATAAATCTAAAAACAAATGTAAAATTAAGAGAATAATTTTTTTCATAATGGTGTAAAAATAAGTTACCTAAGAGAGATGAAAAATTAGATCATTGTGGTATTCCATCAATTTTACTAAAAATATGTTTCCCTTCGTCAAGGTAATTATCAAAAAGAAAAAAAAGCTAGTCAGAATTTCTCCAGAATCAAAATCGCAAAAGGTTAGTTTTATAATTATAGTAATTACTCAAAAGAACATCTTTTAGTTTAAAAAGGGGAATGCTATTAAAGAGATCTCGGAAGTCAAAAGTCGCAATCGAACTAATTTTATTTTGTTTTATAAATTCTAAAATGAGTTGATTATTAATGATAATCCAAGAAAAACCGTCTTCAATATTATTAATAATTTTATTTATGTAGTTAGAGAAAATGGTGCCAGGTTTAGTTTGATAAGAATTAGACCCCTAAGTGAGTGCTCTAAATTTAATAGGAATTTTACGAAATTTTAGACTGATTATTAGGTATGGAAATTGTATATTATTAGTTCTAATTTTTAGCTTCTGATATAAAGCTAAAAAAATTAAATGATTATATTTTTATTTAAATTACTAAGATTAAAATTTTTAATGTTATTTAACTACTTATTTCAAAGTTCAACGTAGAATTTTTTACAGAAGATTGCATAATTATTGTCAGCTTTGTCCTGGGGGTAATTACAAAATATTTTTGTAGTTGCTTAATTGATTGATCATTTTTGCAAAAAATTATTGAATTACTGTTATTTATATTTCTCTTATTATTAAAAATAAAGTTTTTAAAGTTATAGCTAACAGCCCATTTCAATTCTGTTTACATGCCTAAAAGTAAAGAGAATCTGTTTGATATTTTTAAAATAAATTTATTGAGATCATTATGAAAGTATTTTAGAATTTTAATAATTCTTTTATGGTAAATGGGTCTAAATTTTGTGCCTTGTAACATTCTATTTCTAAATTTTCTATAATATTTAAATCTCCAGTAATAATATGTTTTTGCTGTTTATCAATAAATTTAAAACATTCTTCATCTTCACAGTGACATTCATAATCGGATATGATAATTTTCCTTAAATTTTCGCTAATATCATTATACTTAAAAATAGTTCTACCAAAAGTTTTATTATATTTATAGCTTTTAATTACGTTATACTATTTTAATGGAAAAAATTTTAAAACTTTCCAATAACATTATTATAAAATATTATTAACCAAATCAAAAATAGATTCTTGAAAATGATTTGATAGTGTTTTTGAACAATACACAAAAAATATAGCAACAAATTTATAGCTTGTAAGAATCATTTTGGTAATTATATGCAATAGTTGCACAAAATTTCGTAAGCTTAGCTTAAATATTTATTGAGATATGGATATTTTTATAACAATCTAATTTTTTTGCTACAGCATTAAAAATATTCTATGAAATAAAACAAAATTCTTAGTGCAAGTTAAAATTATTTACAAAATTTTTTCTTTAAATTTGAAAGAAATTCGTTGAAAACTGTGCATTGTATAAGAAATTAAATTATTTCTTTTATACATTGCTTGAGTGAAAAATTTTTTAAATTTTTTTCATAATTTTGTAGTGAATTGTATTTAGCAACTAATGAGAAAAATCCGATTTCAATATCTTAAAAATTTCAAGCAATTTTCAAAGTAGTTTTTATATTTTTTAAGAGAAAGCTCAAAATGGTAAAAGGTTTTCTAAGGGGTTTTGCATCATTAGACAAAACTAAATAACAAATGATACCTTGCAATAAATGTTCACACAATAAAATGTGATTCTTTAAGAAAATTAAAGTTTCGAAAAAAAATTTAAGGGATGATCTCCAATAAAATGAATGCGGACGTCATTTTTAATAAATCTTGTACCATAAAAAAAAATGATATTTGTCGAAAATCCCTGATAACTTTATCTTTCTTTCTAAAAAAATTCTGAAACTGTTTAGAAAATTGCTTGAAACTTTTTAAATTTTTAATATACTGAAATCGAACTTTCTTTATTAGTTGCCAAATACAATCCACAACTAAATTAAGAAAAAAACTTTCTTTTTTCCGCATGCGCAGTGTAAAAGAACTACTTTAATTAATCTTGGGCAGTTTTAAACGAATTTTTCTCGAATTGTTGCCTGTTACAAATAATTGCTATATTTTTTTTGTATAGGGTGTTCGAAAACGTTCCTTTTCCGTTTGTAACTTATTGCGGGTCCCTCAAACCTCTAAAAGTTTAAAACTACATTAAGTATGAGAAATCGCATAACCTAAACACTTCTAAATTTATGAAATGATTCCCTAACTATTTTTTGAGAAAAGATATATATATANTTGAAGGTTCACTATAGCGGGGTTTGACTGTATTAAACATGTGTGTAATGATAGTTGACTATAAGTCTAATTACTACAATGATAATTTCATTTTTAAAACTAAGACAAGAACAATAATGCATTAAATAGAAAAGAATTGGCTTACAATGAACTTACATTGTGATTTTTCCGAAAAAATTCATTCTCTATTTCGAAAAAAATTTTGACTTAGCAAAAGGTTTTGAGGAGAAACCAACCCTTCGACATAGGAATTTACGTTAAATGGATATATAATGCCAAGGAAAAAAATATAAGGCAAGGAAAAATAAATAAACATAACAAGGTTTTTGTGGTATCGAGTTTATACTATTAAATTCTTTTACAAACTTAATTTTCTATACTGATTTTTGATTTTTCTGGCCGGTAATTTTACTCTGAATTTATTTATGGTGGTCATTTGTTCCGCGGAAGGAAAAGAAATGACTTTCTTGTTCTTTCTTTCTTTTATTTTCAAGAATAGTCCCCAAAAAGGGGCCTCTGACAATGAACTTTCTCGATAAATTACAGTTCATGCTTTCTACATGTTTCTACCTGAGGTCACCTATATGAAGAAAAAAAAAGCTTCTTTGTTTTCTTTTTTTAGAAAGGGAACCACCTTTCCACTTTCCCTTGAAGAGTTAACCCATTGATGTCAGCAAATATGTGAAACATTTATTAAATTATATATTTCCATGACGTCAATGGATAAGTTCACCAATGAAATGAGTAGTAGAAATGTGCGTATATTTCTAGACAATGCACTTTTGTTGTGTGTAAAACCTTCATTTTTTATCTGCTTTTTTTTAAATTTATAAGCTGAAGATATTTGAACTTAGTTCATGTCAGTATATTTTTTGTATAAGCGTGAGTGAGCGTACAGCTTTCTTCAGGTTTCTGATAACCGATGCACTTAGTTGCTAAAGTAACCTGTTCATAGCAATTTCGAATCAGACAGTTTAAAATATACAACGCTTAATCTGAATCGAAAAATTACGAAACGCACAATTATGAAACTAAATCCGATAATATTCGCTTTGACTTATTTAATTTGCAATTTAGATTTTTCTTTCATGCTTGATCCTGAAATATTGGAGTCGCCAAATAATATAACGACAATGAACGACTTTCAGGTTCATGAAAGTGTTCAGAAGTGGCTAACTGCTGAAAAAGGTGTAAAACAGATGGTTAATTCACTTATTAAAACCGCGATGCCTTTCATAATAAAATCATGGCAAGAGTTTAATGTTTCACACCGCTGCTCACGTGATATGATGAAGTTTCTGCTGGGTCTAAAACAGATAAAATACTGGGCATTTAGAAGTTAGTATGCATATAATGTATTATTTCTTATCATTAATTCTTTATTTTTCATTATTATATATTTTTATTGTATATCATTAATTAATATATATTTTTTACTTTCTATTTTTATTATTTATTATTTCTTGTTATGTATTTTTTTTCCTAATTTATTTTGTTTTATGTATGAACTTTTGTGATATTATTGCCTTAACATAATTATTATATATATATATANAGATAAATATAATATATACTTATATACATATATTTATAAATATAAATATATATATATATATATAAATATATATATATAAATTTCATTACAATCATATACACGAGTAATTCATGTCTAGCGTGCTTACCCATCAAATTTCTTTTAATGTTAAAGTTAGATTGAACCTTTTGAACTTATTACTTAAATCGCGAGTTGGGTATTGATTATATTTTGAAAATTCAGTATTTAATGTTCCAAATTTATCTGGTTATTAATTTTACCATAAATTATCAATTTCCAGTATCATTTTTCCCATAATAAACTTTAAATAATTATTTTGAAATAATATAAAATGCATCTTTTGAATGCGAATTATCCTTAACATATTTTTATGTGATAGTTACAATGTTATTTAACTATTATTGAATCATTGAATTAATTTTACTGAGCTATTTAAAGCACACCTTGCACATTACTCTGTTATGTTTTAGAGATTTGGTATTTGATGTTCTTTTAACTTTAAAATCTAAATATTATGTTCGTGCTGTTAATTTTTATCATAAATGATTAATTTTGGATATCATTTTACAATTAGTAAATTAAAAGTCTATGTTGAAATGAAATAAAAGACTGCTAAAATTAACTTTTTAATACGATAGTTTTGCTAAACTTATTATCAATGAAAGATTGTACTAGATGTTCTAACTTTATCATGCATTTAATATTTTTATAAGAGATCTATTTTCGGAGTCATTTTTAAAAACAAATCTTAAGTGATTACTTTTTAATGTTATAGCTATGCTGAACTAACTGAACTTATCCTTACTTTTATCTAAGTTCCATTGTCAACTTTGACAATTTTATTTTTAGGTTAGCATTATAATACTTTTGTTTATATAGTTATTTTGTTTATGTAGTTTTGTTTATATAGTTATATTTTGTTTATATAGTTTCTAGCTGTGTGAATATTCAGTTTAACCAAATCAAGAAAACTTTTGTAGAAACGCAACATTTTGGTTTGATCTATTGACAATCTTTTATATTTTATTTGAAATAAAAATTTACTCTATTTTTTTAAATACTGATTCATTACCTTTGTTACGACTAGGGAAAATGTTTGTTTTAAAACTACGAAAATTCCTTAATGGTTGAGAGTTATATTTTTACTTATTTTCACCCTAAGTATTTACCCTATTAAATCAAATGGGGGAGAACTCAATAATTTGGTAAGTCTTCTAACAGCTCTACCTTGTTACCTCCCAACTACTAAGGAATTTGGTAAGTTTTCTAGTAACACTAGTTACGAGATGACTTACCAATCAACTAGTAATTCGATTAACCTCGTTACCTCCCAACTACTAAGGAATTTGATAAATTTTCTAGTAACACTAGTTACGAGATAACTTACCAATCAACTATAGTAATTCGATTAACCTCGTTACCACCCAACTACTAAAGAATTTGATAAATTTTCTAGTAACACTAGTTACAAGATGACTTACCAATCAACTATAGTAATTCGATTAACCTCGTTACCTCCTAACTACTAAGGAATATGATAAGTTTTCTACTAACACTAGTTACGAGATGACTTGCCAATAACTAGCAATTCGATTAACTAGTTTTTCCAAGACTGGAATTTCCCAGGCTAGTAGAATGGTAAGACTATTAGTCTAGGAAACTCTATTCTAAAAAAATCTCTTTCATTTGTTAAGTCTTATAGCAACTCTAGTTAATCGGGCAGAGTAATCTAGTTCCTATCAGTAAATGTATCTCTTTCAGTCAAAATATTAGTACGCAACCTCTGCTGTTACTGAGAAGAAAAAAAAAATTTAAAACTACTATGATACTAAAATTCCGTAGTAATTCGAAGATAAAAGGTATGCATGAAGAAGTATGCATTTTTTTAAAAGAAAAATCTGCGAACAATTTATGGTGAAATTGTATTTCTACTTACGACTTAAGTAGTGAAAAAAAATTGCGTTATTTAACTAATGTATATAGTATAAAAGTATATTTTATTGAAGCGTGGAAAATATTAGAAACAGGACTCAACAGGACTTTTACAAGTCACCGATATATTAACAATTTTAATTCTTGATCTTTCCTTGCAGTGCTTGATTCCTCTGGTAAAATACCGAATGGTATATTTAGTGGAAGCATTAATTCATTGGGTGATTTCGATGTTTGTGTGGAAACTGTAGTTAAAGGAAAAGATAGCTTCAAGGGTCAGTACTGCTTAGTAGAAGTGTCTCCACCTGTTCCACCCAGAAGACCATTTTTCTCCTACGACAACGAAATTCCAGAATTCATCAACACTACTCATCCGGATTCGGTAAGTGAATTTTTAAGACATTTTGACCCATATCTCATTGATGCTGCGCTAACCCTTTCTCGCAGAATTTTCGTCACCACATTGAGCGCCACGCTAATTTTACATGACTTGCCCTTCTGACCAAGGTAAATAACTACAAACTAAACATGCAAATATTAGACGGATTTTGCTATATTTTTAAATGGTTTATCATAACCTATCTTACTTTTACTTTCTTTATTTATAAAAAATTGGGCACCTGGGCAGCGCAGCGGATAACATATCTTCTTTCTTTTCTTTATTTAAACAAAACTGGGTGCCTAGGCCCTACCCCATTCATCATGAAAATTATATACAGTGAATAAAACATTTTGAATCATGTAACAATGTGGTAACATTATAATAAAGTAACCATGATTAGAAGTATGTACAAACTTGATCGGAGATTTACATTAATTGCCATTGAAAAATGAATTGTTTAAAAATAGTGGTGGATAAAAATCTACTAAATTGAATTTATTAAACCAAGAATCACAATAATTAAGTAAATTTTGAATACATTTTCTGCAATTCCATAAAAGAGTGCAAATTTTATAGTTCTATATCATGTTATACGCTGTCAGCTAACTGCTTTTCGCTGCCTATGTGAAAGGTCAGTGTCAGCAAGGGGTGGCAGAAGCAGCCTAAATGTAATTTCAGTGTCAGCCACCGGTGGTTGACGCAGCCTAAATGTAATTTCAGTGTCAGCCACCGGTGGTTGACGCGGCCTAAATGTAATTTCAGTGTCAGCCTCCGGTGGTTGAAGCGCACTAAATGTAATTTCAGTGTCAGCCACCGGTTGCTGACGCGGCCTAAATGGAAAGTCAAGTGTCAGCCACCGATGGCTGACGCGGCGCTCATCGCGTTAATCATATTTTTCATATTTTTTTCATTATTTTGTATTTAGGTCAAAATAAATGGCAAATATTATGTTGAGCATTTTAATAATTTATGGTTATTAAATACAGCCTGAATCATCGGCATCTTTTTCTGAGTTACAGTTAAAATCTTCCAAAAAACGCTCACTTCCAAACTAAAATTTTTCAAATATGCTCTTATTATGTTGCAGTTATTCAAATATGTACAAATACGTTGTTGTTATTTAGGTCTAAGAGAAACAGTCATTCATCATTGAAGTTTCTTTAATTTACAAAGTCAATTATTGATGAATTTTTTAATATGAATAAAAAATTTCCTTTTCAAACAACTTTTCTTTATACTTTAGTACAAATATTGTTCTAATAATCTAACAGATTTTTTTTAATCCAATAAGTCTGTTTTTTATAATTAAAAAACTCTTCAACTTCCTAAAATATCAAGGCTGTTCTTAAATCGTCTCGCAAACACAACATTTGCGGATGGAAGTTTTAGGCGAGGTACGAGCATATTTCCAAACACATCGCATACGGGTGATTTTTCCAAAACATGTTTTGCAATTGTTTGCGATTGAAATTTTTAATAAAGTGGTAGACAAAATTTCATAAAAGCTGCAGCAAACTTGCCTCTATAGCTACAACTTCAATTTTTTTTAAAAATTACAGCGACTGATTGTAACATACATACTGAATCATTCATGTTGTGGTGATCACGAATGCATAATTTCTTTAAAAAACCGAGCGGAGATGAAGTAGTTTTGCAGCCACTTTTTAAACTTTTCTATGGATTGCAGAAATTTCAAAAACGTATTTTTGAGTGATCCGCTTGCAAAGTATCAAATTAAAATTCAAGACCAATATGATTTTTCTGGTGCGACAAACGAAAAGAGCACGGATCACGAAGAAATCCAGAAGAATCTACTGAAACTGTTTATTGGTGGTTGACCCTATTATAATTTCTCAATTTTAAAATTTATATTTTACATACGAATATAATGTGAGATATACTGTTTGGTTTGAGAAGAGGAATACATAGAAATTAACTCTTGCTTCATATCTTGTAAATTATTACTAAGTAAATACTAATTCTAAGCATATAATCAACAAAGCAAATAATAAATCTAAGCATATAATCAACTAAGCAAATAATAAGCTAATAAATTTAAACAGAATAGAATGCAAAAATATTTAGACTGTCTGTTCAAAATTTTGAGAACAACAAAACTCTTTAAATTACGAATTGAATTATTCTGCAGAAAATGTGATGTTTGCTTTTATTCTCTACATTTTTCGTAAATATATTTTTCTTTTTTTTAAAAACTATTATGGTGTTCTTTTTACTCTTGCAAAATTCCGATCGGTTAAAATAAGGACTAACTAGTAGATATTTTTATAGGAGAGTAAGCCATTCAAATTTGAAGTTTTCATAAAGATGCAATATAACAAAATTTTGCCATTCTCTTAATCATAAAATTTTCAAGTATAACTAACTGAAATTTTGCATTTGTCTACTCTATCCCATTTCAATTGTAGCCGCCCTCTTCCCCTATATACAGGATTCGTACACTCCTTAGAAAATTTATAAAGAGGTTTAATAACAAAGTTATTAATTTCAGCATATTAGCTTTTATTTAATATTAAGGATAGTAATTAATACAAATTTTATATAATTTTATATTCTTAACTTTTCTACCACTTTTTAAATTTTATAATGATTGCACGCTTTTTGTATACTCGATTTATTTACAACATATACATGCCTGCCAACTACAGTGCTTTTTGAAAAATATTCTATCGAGTGGTAGCCATTTAAAAATCAAAGATTTCAGAATTTTTGGTAATTTTGACAACATTTAAAAGCCTCACCACGGGACAGCCAGAATAAAATGGCGTTGCAAATGAACTTTCAAAATCATTTATATGCAGTAATGTGGAAAACAAGTTGAAATAAATAAAGATATAATACATTAAAACATACATTTAGCTACCACTAGAATAAATATTTACAAAATGTGTTCAAAGTTGGCAGTCTTGCATATAATCTTAGATAATTATTAAACAGTCGTTGTTATTAATTTTTATTTAGGTTACGTCAGTTTTTATGCGTAGAGCAATGTATTACTATCATTTGAATTTTCGTTCATCAATCTGCGTACCTTCTACTTGTACGAAAGAAGATGTTTGGAAAATGTCGACTGAAGGTAAGTACTGGTATTTTTCATGGGAAAAAAAAAAACTTTTTTTGTTTTCTAGATTAACCTTTTATTCATGCTTAATCATAACAAGTAGAAAAACTTAGAAAAAAATCTATTTCTTTATTATCAAAGAAAGATCTGAAGAAAAGTTGAATGAATGTATGAATACTGTTAACACTTTTAACATGAAAATAAAATCTTAACATTGATGAAAATTTGGGGAAAATTGTCAGCCATGTCAATATTGCAAAAATGTGGCAAAAGTTAGCAATACTTTTTAACCCTTTGCTCTCCGATGCAGTGCCATCAACATTCACCAATTTGAAATTAAAATTTTCATACCTTAAAAATTATATAATAAATTAATTAGTGCTTAATACTCAGATTTGACTGTAATTTAACAGAGGCTTCGCTGCCAACACTCGAATCTTTTTCTTTGCCAAAGCCATTTAGTCTCAATTGTTATTTCATATCATCAGAAGAAGCAGTGAGATACTCGCTTCGCGGGCAGGTTCTCTGCTACAAAACATGTCAAGTCAAGTATTTAGTGCTTATATTAGCATATATTATATATTCAAACAGCATTTTACAGTACTCGTAGTGCGAAGGGTTGACTTATATATTTCAGCTTAATATTAAAATAAAAAAATTATAGATAGATTTTTTTTCTTACTGAAGATAAATGATAAAGTAACACGTAGTTAGGAATAAACAATTACGTGAACAAATAAAATAAATAATAACTAAGAGTTCAACCTTTTTTTTTACATTTTTAGACGCATGTGTCATCCCTGCGATAGGTTTACTTTATAACGTGTGCTACCACTTTGTAAGAAAATCTCGTGCAAATTGGATATAGGTTTTCAGTAGCAAATTAAAAGAAATGTGGTAGACTGTTCTTTTATCAGATATTATATTACCTACAACATCAGAGAGCTCACTGGGCAGGAAGTGGCCTTCATGTGATCCTGCCCGGAAGCTCTTCGCTTCTCATTTTTTATATGCAATCTCTCATAGAATAAGAGAATAAGCCTGACTAAAACTACAAACTTACGTCATCCATAGCTTCCGATATTTCTCTTGAATCTTACTAACCAATGACAGTACCTTCATATGTTGTACAGCCCAAGGGCTCTACAACATATGAAGAAGTGGAAGCAAGGACTTCTAATCTCCTCTAAATCTGCAAGAAATGTACAAGAAAAAGTTGCTAATTAAAATATCTTATAATAGATTTTCGCTTTTTATTAGTTACCATTTTTTGCATTTTTATACAACCCAGCAAAACTCTAACGGTAAATTCGAATGGTAAATGTACAAAAAGAAAAATTCATTTTATCCTTAAATACATATCTTGCTCTTTCTTATAATTAAATAAACTGTCACCTGCATTCTTTTTTAGTTTTAAAACTTGCTGGGATTGATTTTCAAGTAATAATACCTAACTGTGAAATCAAAGAGGATGAAGTATCTTTCAGCAGAAGTGAAAAAGTAATTATGTAAGTATTAAAAGTAATTCTCAATTATATGCAGAAATTTTAGGAAGAAAAAAAACGACTTCTTTATTATTTGAATTAAACGTGGTTCATTAGTTATGTTATTTCATAATAATACAGTTGCTACTAATACAATACGCTTGCAGTTGCGAAATAAAGCCTAATAAAATTAACAAATATGAGTCTACTTTTTTAAAAATAACGGAATTCATTTCTTTTTTTTTTTCGGTGTTTTTCGTTTAATTTTTATTTTAAAAATGTTTTCGATCTTTTACGATACAATTTGTTTAATCTTAAGCAACTCCCAATTATAAGAACTTCTGAATAAAACTGAGAACAGTAACAAAGCTTTTGTGTTTATTTTTTTTTTTTTTTTGTTTTTAACATATGCTTTCTCATGATTGTTTATACAAGTAAGGTTACGAAACTGGCCAATATCCATAATACAATTGGCAAATGGTTATGTTAAATTGTTCGAAAATATACTTAAAATGAAAAAATTGATGTCTGTTTTTTTATTTTTTATTATTATTATTATTCTAGAAATGTGTTCACTAATTTTCCATGATGCATTTCAGTTTTTTTTTTCTTTTTTTTAAATTTATTTTTTGAGTAGTTTTAAAAACTTTTGTAGATTACTGGAATTACAAAGTCGTAGTGGCTCAGGAGATAGAGCGTTCGCCTTCCAATGAGGTAAACTGGATTCGAATTCCAGCGATGACTGGTCGATTCGAATTTCGCATCCACCGCTTGCAATGACCACAATGCTGACGTGAAATACTCTCAGTGGTAGACGGATTATGGGTTAGAGTCCCCTTGCTGTCAGACTAACCGTGGGAGGTTTTTGTGGTTTTTCACTCCGTGTAACGCAAATGCGGGTTAGTTTCATCTAAAAGTCCTCCACGAATGCAAATTTCTCCCAATACTGGATTGGGTTCAAAATTACAAGGCTACGGAGTTGAACATTAGTAGTCGTAAACCCAAAAAATTGGGTCGGCTGTTCAACGACGGTTATAAAATGATACTTATTTCTGTTGGATGTGCAAAACTTGCACACAGAAGAAATGTTTTTAAAGATCAATAATTATAGGTGTATAAATTTTTAAATATCTATTAATATATATAAAATCTTTTTTGAAATTAAAGCTTGTTACTATAAATTTATTTAGATATACCTACCACCTTTGTTTTTAAACTAAATTATTCATGTATTTAGTTTTTCTTCATTTATTGAAACGAAGCTATAGCTAGTTTTATATTGTCAATCCTTAATCTGCGTTATTTGATCTGTGGAATGAGGTGGGAAGAAAAGTTATTCAAATATGATTACGAAAACTAACACATAATAAGTTACAGTTAGAGGGATTTTGTTTTCGCTTTTCAAAATTGTACTTAACGATTTTTTAACAAATTATTTTGACTTTTTCATTCTTCAGGAAAATAACATTAAAATAATTTTTTTAAAACTCATTTGCACTCTATATAAAGCAGGAGTTTCCAACTAGGAAAGACTACAAAAAAAAAGGCTTTCCAACTACAAGAAGCCTTTTTTTGTAGCCCGCGAACTAAAATATATTAGATGTCGGTTTTCGTGAAAAATCTATATGAGTTTAAATACTTTTTTTTCGTTTAAGAAAACCTAATTTCTTTGAAATTTAACAAACCAACGATGCAAAAGGATTTATCTCTCAGGTTTTGCACTCAAGAAAATATTTATTAAAATTCAAAAATAATCGTGTATGTTGCTCTTTTTTATTTCGTTTTTTTTTTTTTTTTCGTTTTNTTTTCTTTTGTTTTTTTTTTTTTTTTTTTGTGTGATTTTGAATATAATTCAGCATGTGCGTATCAGAAATATTCTCGAAGAAGTTCTCCCATTTAACTTTTTGAAACTACTCATTTTGGACGAAATTATTAACATTTGCAAATTTTAAAACGCATAAAAGAGGGAATGAATATCATGTTTTATTTAAATTCCCTGAATTGAATATCGCAAGAGCAGAAAAAAAAATTTAATTTCAGATGCTCGAGAATTTTTTTGTTGTTGTTGCAATAATTCCTAATAAGTCGGAAAAAAAACTGTTCATTTATCACAAAATTAAATTTTTAAAAAAAAATCACTAAGTTTCTGATTGTGTGTATTGTCATGTGTTTGTAACTGAATCTTGTAGCGAGTCGGTTACATGTACGCGGTAAAAATTACATTAAATTAACCGGTCCGGTTCAGGGTACCCGGTGAAAATTGAATTTATTATCCTACCTGTTTCGGATACCGGGGCACTACATTAGTTATACAAAACTGTATAAAAACCGTATAATATTTGATCACACAAATATTTTACAAAAATTAAAAAACTAAGGATGTATTAAAATTCCACATCCTTAAAATTTTAAGCCCAAACCTGAAATTAAAGCCCCTATTAGATAAAAGCTTAGAACAAACTCGCCTTTGCGAAAAACTTTTACATTAAAACTAATTCGTATTTGCGCTATATTGAGATGAAAACTTTCGTTGTTAGGCCGACTGTTAGAGATCTATAACCCAATCGGTTAGAAATTGAACCTCTTAAGCCACTGACGGATTAACACACTTTCTTGGGAATATGCAAATTTAAGTTACCGCTTACTTATTACATTTAAACGTGTTTTGATTCAGTTTAAGTGTAAATTAGCCTGAACTGAAAAAGCAATAAAGTATTCTCAGATGAGCTTTCTTTTTAACCCTTGATGGAACAGAAAATTTTGATTGAAAATTTTAGTCATGTTAACATTAATAAGTGTGACCTTAAACCGTACATTTTAATTCTAATTGTTATCTACATCTCGGAACCTACCGCCGAAGGTAGCACCAAACGATGGACATTTAATTAATATCTAAATTGTCACATCTAATGTATGTAGTTGTAGAAGGAGGTTGTTGACAGGCTTGTGTTGTGCTGACGTCTTTAGTGCTTGTAAATGGTACTAAGGGCAGCACCCGATCGAAAGAAAGAAGTGACTGGATTCTCGCTGAAATACGGTGTTAAAGTTAGCAGTGTTGCAGTCAATGACTTTGCTGCAAAATGATGCATTCAATCTTTCAATGTAATGACTGTGTAGTTTCATCTTTTTGTATACAGACAGTACATTTTAAGTAAAGCGATATACTTTAGCTCTCTGTTTTCAGAAAAGTGGTTGCTAAACGTTAAAATTATGTATTCAGTTTTTCAATGTAATGACTGTGTAGTTTCGTCTCTTTGTGTTCATACAGTTCATTCTAAGTGAAGCGACATACTTTAGCTCTTTGTTTTCAGACTATTGTTTGCAAAACGTTTAAATTATGTATTCAGTTTTTCAATGTAATGACTGTGTAGTTTCATGTCTTTGTGTATATACAGTACATTCTAAGTGAAGCGACATACTTTAGCTCTTTGTATTCAGAGTAGTGGTTGCCAAGCGCTTAACATTTATAGAGATTTGTAACATTAGTTGAATTAGTGTTCCCAGGCTCGAAGCACTGCAACAGAATAGTTTTAAAAATAAAAAAGGACTTTGACATCTTCATGGGGATGCGTTTTTTCTAAATGTAATTTGAAGAATTAATTAATAAATTTATTCAACTTCTCAAAATGATTTTTTTCTTTTTTGTCGATACAAACTTTGACAAGAAGGAATCGATCCTGACTTTTTGTTGAGAAATTGTAAAAAATCTACTTTTAATTTTGTGTCAACTTTTTCCACTGTGTCCTATTCTATTTTCATTTCTATTTATTAATAAATCAGCATTAAAATTTTACACTTCAATAAAACTTGCTGAGCATAAAAAAGTAGTTTTAGCTGACCCTAAAACTGTAGTTTTAGTACTAGTTTAGTTGCATTGGGTAGTACTTAGTAATACTAGTTTAGGAGTATTTTGAAACAGTAGTAATACTGGGTATTACTGGTTCAGTAGTACTTTAAATCCGTAATAGCACTGTACCTAAACCAGTAGTTGTATTGGGTAGTACTTAGTCATACCCTCCAACTGCTACGGAATTTCCGTAGTTTCAGAAATCTTCTTTTCAGACGGTAGCAAAATTAATGTCTTAATATTTAAAAAAAATTAATTTTAGCGTAACTTGTCCACTATTACTTATTAAAGTACAGGCCATATGGCTAGATTCTTAAGTTCTGATAAAAGTTTTATGAGATCCATTTGCTTTAAAAATTTCTACTTTGGTTCGCTACCACTAGAAAAAATTATTTTCAAAATCCTCATAAGTTGGAGGGTATGTACTTAGTAATACTAGTTTAGGAGTATTTTAAAACAGTAGTAATACTGGGTAGTGCTCGTTTAGTAGTACTTTAAACCAGTAATAGTACTGTACCTAAACCAGTAGTTGTATTGGGTAGTACTTAGTAATACTAGCTTAAGAGTATTTTAAAACAGTAGTAATACTGGGTAGTTCGGGTTTAGTAATACTTTAAACCAGTAGTTGTATTGTACCTAAACCAGTAGTTTTAACTTCAGCAAGGATTCCACGAGCGACTAAAAATGTAAAAAGTGGTAGAAATTCAATTTATTTTTGCTTATTTACTATCACTTGAATCATTCAATTATAACTACCACTATGACTTGAATTTCAAATTATTCATATTTAAAAAAAGTTTATAAGTATTTATTTATGTCTTCTTTTAAATGTTTTCAGGATGAATGGGAAAAGGGCCGAAAGCGGCCCTAGTAACCCAATTAATAAATTCAGTTTCTGAGAAAAAGTAGGGATATAATCGAGTTATTCCTATCGAAAACTAGCTATAAATGAAATGATTTTCCAGCTTTTCCACTTTTTCCATCTCGTTTTCACCCCTGATCTTGATAAGGATGTATCGAGCATTAATGAGTGCTATCTGATTTTTTAACATTAATAATCACTGAGACCCGGCAAAATTTGGTGGGTCCGGGTACCAGGTAAAAACTGGGCAATAATTATATAGCTGGATAACCAAGGTACCATGTAATTACCGCGTACACGTTAGTACATCCTAGCACAATATATACTCACTTAACACGTAATATCTAGAGACTACTAAAGAAAATGGTTACTAAAATTAAGCTTTAAATTGTTGCAGATATGATATAGCATTTTATACATAGCATATCTACATTATTATAAGTGTTTATAATGCTCTATAAATAGTGAATAATAAATAAAGACGCAGTTTTGAAAAATGTAAAATGGGAGGAGGTTCAATTTAGTGTTTTCCCCCTCTAGTAAGAAATTTATTTAAAACGGAAATATTTTTGTTCTATTTACAGAATCGTTTTGAGCGCCATCGTACTTTCAGCTTTATCAGCAACTATTGTGGATATTTATTTAAAGTTCATAACGACTGATGAGGATTATCAACAAAATATTAGTAAGAATACTTATATCTTTTATTTAAAATCTACGTATTTTTGCACGCATACACTGAATTAATACTTTTTTTTTCAAGATGCATCATTGTATTGTTCTATAACTTCAATTTATTAGTTCAATCTGTTTAGATACATGTAAAAGTTTTTCATTGCTGAATCGAAATTAGAATATGCTTACTTATGTGGTATTATGTGTGCTTTCTTAACGTTTATCAAAATTAATCACATCTTCCGTTTGACTAAAAAAAAAATTGGGGGGGGGGGCGCATTCGATGTGATTCGGGTCACCGAGACTGGCCTTGTGTCGACCAGGAACCATCATCTTTGACGAACTCGTCACCGAAGTGGAAGAATCAGTGACGGATTAGGATATTCTGCAAGTTTAAAATATCCGGCAAGGCACTGATGATTTTCCTTATTTACAATCATACTTTTGACATCAGGCAATCTAAAGCTTGTTTACTTCGATAGGTTTTTGTGTTCGTTGCATTTCTTCTTTTCTCACTTAATAACATTTCTTCTTTTCTTCTAACTTTGAGAAAATGGCTTTAGTGAAAAAGTATTAAATTTCCGAATCAGAAATGATAATTGAACATTACAGAAGTGAGTTTTATTTTATTATTAATAAATTTAAAACTTGCCACAATATTATGATAAGTTGAATAACTTCAGTTTTCGAAAATTTTTGTCAGTTGACGCAAAATCTTTGAACTAGTTGCTAAAATGCAAACGTTTTCGTTTCATACTTTAATAAACTTTAACTAAAAACGTCTTCAAGCTTTCACTGATGGAATAGATTGTTTATTATTGGAAGAGGCGCTTGTGATGTCATAGCCGACGGTGAACCGGAACTTGTTTCTTTTCACCACTGAATCACTCAATTCGTCACGGCAAAGTAGGAACTGACTGGAATCATGGCGATTCCGTCACGTCAAACGCGGCTGCCCTTATACCAAAGGTTAAGAATCACCCTTGGTTATTCATTTAACCTCTCTTTGTATGTTCTCAACAGTATCAGTTAAAGTTATTTTTATGTTGTCTCAAACAATGCGAAATATTGTTATTTATCCATTAGGTATATCTTTCAATTGTTCAAAGATATACTTAATATATCATATAAGGTATATCTTAGAACAAATTTCGTTTTGTGTTGTCTCAAAGAAGGCTAAATACTTTTATTTATCCATTAGGTATATCTTTGAAATGTTTGTTGTGTTTTTCTGTCTATTCAAATGGTCGACGGTTGCTGAAGAAGGATAACAACCCCGAATCCATTAAAATATTCCATGGAATGAAAGTCATCACACTCTTGTGGGTGATACTAAATCACACCTATCTTTATTTAAATTATCAAACACTTAGTAAGTATGTTTGCTACATAACTGGTGTATGAATTAGACGCATAATTTTATGGAACTTACAGAGATTGGACATATATATGGAAACACTTTTATGCAAACTCTATGTAAACAATTTTTCTTTTAGCAGAAAATGTTTCGGAAGGTTTTACATGGCAAAACTGTTAGAGCAGTTTGAAAAATCACATTTGAAGCTTTTAGAATTGGTGTCCTTTTTATCCATTGCAAAATTCGGATCAACCAAAAAATTAAGAAAGAAAATTAATAGATATAATAGGAAAGAAAATTAATAGATTTTTTATAGCTTTAATACCAGCAAATTTGAACTCATTCCATCAGATTGCAATATTTATATTAGAATGCTTTTTAAATTATAGTGGTATTGAAAATGAAAAGAAGCTTTTAACTTTCTACGGTCATTTTGGTGGTTCTGAATTTTTCATGGGTAAATATGGGATCATTTCTAAAGGCTTCAAGCGTAATTAATTATGACAAGAGATTTACCGTGAAAACTCTTCCAAAATATTTACTGTTGCTTAATACGAATCAAAAAGTAGACTCTTTTTTTTTTCTGAAACCGTACATAGACGGTTTTCTAGCAGTTTTCAGATGCATTTTGCTTGAACTGAATTTTTCTACAAGATTTTTGTTGTTGTTACTGTTATTTTTTTAACAACAGTTTACTCAGTAAGTGTATATAAGATGAAATGTATAAAGAATTTCGTACACGCTCAAGCATGTTGCTATGCGTGTGAAAATGTTGCCAAACAGGAAAAATGAGAATTTTATTTTTCAATCAAACATTCTATATCAGCCAACTTCACGCTCTTTGCAGAAAATGTTTTTTAGTGTGACTAGTGTAACCAAAAAAATTGTTTAAATTCGTCTTAAAGTTAAAAAATATAATATTCCATATTATAAATTTTATTTTCCAATGTCTCACTCGAGAATTTCATGAACATAGTCGGCTATGCTCCGATTATTTCTAATTTTTCTCAGTATAAGAACTTTGAAATTCTGTAAAACCATAAAATACAATTTTCTTTTCGAAGTTTTACATGAGAAAGTCCTTCAAATTTCAAAATAATTATTTTATTCCGTTATTATTTTAGGTGCTCTTTTAAATGCAAGAGAAAAAGGGAAAGAAATAGCTTTTCAATTTGTGGTGAATGGTTTTCTCAATGTAGAAACATTTTTCTTCATCAGGTAATAATTATAAATACTTTTTTATTTTTTAGATTTCATACAGTACTCAAGAAAGTGAACGAAGAAAACGAACATCTTTCATAAATTTTAATCTAAGTAATGATCGGATTTTTACGCACTAGGACTTAATGTTTTGCTGGCCAAACTTTAAATATACCAATAAATTTGTGCAATCGATACGTTTGTAAAATAATAGAGATTAGCTACAGTTTAATTTATACTTTGTATAATAATTTATTTTATTTTATTTTATTTTATTCATACATTTGTAAAATAATAGAGAATTAAAACCTAAGAGTTTAAGTCGTCTGATTGTTCTTGGTACCTTGTAAAAAAATTCACCTCGATGAAACTGAAACAAAGTAGCGTTTTATATTAGCTTTAGAATCATCTAAATGTTATAGTATGCCAAATTACTTTAAATCAAATTACATAACTAAGAACTTATTAAGATAAATTTGTCCTCTAAAAAAATTTGTCCATGAAGCAAAGCATATCTGGCAAAATTAAGAGATTAAATATTAACAAAATGAAATTCCCTCACTTATTTTTAATGTATTTTTGGCGTACATTGCATTAGTTCGGGAACTAATCGTGCTCATGAAATGAGTATTCCTGTCTTTTATGCTGTATTCTTTTTATTTCTTTTATGTATAAATAAAGAAACAAAAATTTTATGTAATGAATTAGAGCCAACACACATTAAACAGTTGTATCAAGCTATACTTTAAATGCAATCAATTGTTTATTTTTTCAGCTCAGTTCTTGTTGCTTACGGAGTAACAAAAATGAAAGGAAAACGAATCAACATTTTCCTGTACGTTTTTCGACGATTGTGGAGGTAAGGAATTAAAATAAGGATATCTCTAACTTAGTTTGCTTTTCTTGCATACACAAAGATCAAAAACTGCCTAACGCGACCATAAGCATTTTTTCTCTTACTAATATCTGTTATTGATTTATTTAATTATTGTATATTTTTTTTACTTGCATCGAGCTGGCGTTCACTATATTCTGAAAGATGAAACATAGAAATGAAATACTTCCAATAAATAGCCAACATAGTCCATTAACTGCCGAAAAATAAAAATTAAAGCTTCTAGTGATAGCAGACTTCTAATTCAAAAGAATACTTAGTAAAACTCTCTTAATATGTATTTTCAGGCTTCTTGCCAAAAATTAAATAATATAAGTGCACACACTAGGGGTCTCAAAGTCACATTTAACCCTTTAATGGGCCCTTTATTTCTAGTAAAGGTAAATTAAAGTATTTTTGGAATTGAAATTGTTTTAAGAACAGTAATTGATATTAAAAAAAATAACTCATTTAGTTTATAAAAATGCCATTTTTTTGGTGGNTTTATTTCTAGTAAAGGTAAATTAAAGTATTTTTGGAATTGAAATTGTTTGAAGAACAGTAGTTGATATATTAAAAAAATAACTCATTTAGTTTATAAAAATGCCATTTTTTTGGTGGTAAATATATTTTACGTGACCTATTAGGAACTTACTGACTTTTACTTTTCTTTATTTATAAAATAAATTCCTTAAATGCTACAAGCTTCAAGAGGATATATGTATTTTATAACTTTTATACGTTTTTTAAAAGTGACAAATGGTTACCAATTTTCTTCAAACTCACTTCAAGAAAGCTGAAGTTATTGAAAAATGGAAACCTAAATTAAAAGTGGTAAAACGTGGCGGTAAGTATACTTACCACGGCCTTCAAAAGGGTTAAGTGGGGGGGGGGAATATTACGCTATCAAATCTGCCGAATCACACGTGAAAAAATGAGACTTAGAAATCAAAACCAGAAAGGATGAAAAGTTTCAATACTAAATAAAACTTATTGAGAGTTTCTAATAATCGATGGAATCGATCGAATGGAATGACACCAAAACAAAATCTATAAGAATAATAACTAAATCGATAAATTTTACACACAAAATGTTCATTTCTGTTAGGAAGTCTTTTCTTCTCAGAAGATCGTGCACAATTGTTGTTCCATCGAAAGATTGTGATTGTTGTTTTATTGAAGGAGTATAACTTGTGTTTCTGTTAAAATCTAGGTTGACCCCTCCATTTATGTTTGTCATTGCCTGCGTTTATCTTTTACCTCATTTGGGCTCAGGTCCAGCATGGAAAGAAACAATTACAGACGGATTAACTAAGAACTGTAAGAACTACTGGTGGACGAATCTCTTATATTTCAACAACTACGTTCCGTATTTTGATACGGTAAGTTATTTACAACTTTACTACTTTATTACAAAGTTATAAAATCAGTAAAATCCCCGATATTCATATACAGTCGAGTGTGTCAAAAAAAAATGAATATTTCAATGTCGGAACGCTGAAGTTTGGAAAAGTTGCTTGTTGTGTGTTATGATAAAATTCACCACGTGGAAATGGTAGAACGTCGAGTTCCACCTACACACTATTCAACCAACCATCTAACCTTTACGTGAGGTATTTTCATTATATTCGCAGCTATTTACAAAGATTTTAAATTGAATAGGATTCTTTGGTTTACTATATTATTAAGGTTTTTTTTAAATATCTACTACATATTTAAAGCCTGACTTTTTGGAGAAATGATCTAAACTTTAGTATTGCTCGAATATCAATCCGTAGCTTCATATTCACTGACTACTTTTTTTAGACTCTGTTGCGTGTTTGACACACTATATCTCTGCCTTGAAGTGACAAAGAAACTTGATTTCTTTATAAAGTGTAGTGTTCGAATTAAAGAACAGCTACGTAGAACAGACAGGATAGACAGGAGTCATCTGCTTCCCAGACCGTCGATAGTAGCCCATTATGCAGCTTTAGCGCGACGTAAATAAAAGTACTAAGTACTAGCATTGACGAGTGATTTAATATAATTTTCACTCAAGTTTTACCACACATGAATCTCAATTAATGATTTTCAAAGAACATTTCTCAAAATTTTGATTTTTATTCTTTATTTCAAATGGCTGCCATTTAGAGGGGAAAATGACTTTTTTGGATTTTTTGGGTTCCAACCACCGCTACCCTCATACATAATCATTCATTTTTTGTCTAGTCCGTTTCAGGCTATATAGTATGAGGATCATGCCTTTTATAACCTGTATAAACAATATACGATTCTCGAATTTGAATACTTGTTATAAAAATAATTAAAAGTATAAAAAAAATCGTGTTATATGCAGTTGAAATTGCAGCATTATGTAACGATAATGCTATAACAGAATTTGTTTTTTTTTAACATATCAATATGGTATAATGCAGAATATTCTGAAATTAACAGCTATCTCACTCTTGGTTCTAACTATTTGTGTGCCGAATTTCATTTTTTTACGGATGAAAAAATTTAGCTCATGAGACTGACAAATACGAATTCTTATACATACTGTGAAATATATTGATGCATTTATCCCCAAAAAATTTTATAAAACATATTTTGCATAGCATTTTCTTTTTAATATTTTAGTGTTTAAACTGGACATGGTACATACCAGTAGATACTCACCTATATTTTCTCAGTCTTCTTGTTTTAATTCCATTGAAAAGGTAAATATATTATTTCTTTAATAAAATATTACTAAATAACTAATGTTTGAAATACACTACAGTATGTATAACAGTTTAATCTTTTCATTTAAATATATACAGGGTTATTCATAATTCCCTCCGGGGCTTCGAAGCGTTATAGTAAAAAAAAGAAGACGAATATGAAAAAAAGAAACATATGATATATTCCGAAACTATTCAAGTTTTACTTAACATACATTACAGGTGTTCTACGTGTGAACCCTTGGTCACACGGCATACATCATTGTGATAGTCCAGTTCCTGCCCGGAGGGAATTATGAATAACCCTGTGTATATACATATATATATATATATTATTTTTATTATTATTTTTTTCATTGTTCTGTAATTTTTCCCTTGTTTTTCCCTCCACATTTTGAACTTGGCGAATATTTTGAAGATTAATCTACTTCTGCCTAAAACATTTATCGTTTCATAAGGTTTTACTTTAGGACAATTTATAACTTTAACATGCCCTATGAAAACTGTAGGCTATGTAGAAAACTAAAGACGAAATTCAGCGTCATAATGGTATTGGGGGGAAATCCTTTTCAATTGAATTCGTTTTTAAATTTTTTTGACTGGTCTACACCAACGGTTCCCAATTTCTCTCGGCGACGAAACCCTAAATAATCAAGCTTCGTCCGGTGGAATCCCAACTTCGTAATTAAAGTAAGCAAAAACAATTGTGTATGAATTAATCATTAAAAAGACTACTTTATTTTGAACTTTAGACTTTTTATACTTATAAGAATGAAGTTTTTCATCGTTTTATCATTAATGATCTTATATTAGGTTTGATGTTTGACAGTAGAATTCGCAGTCTTGGGGATGAATCTAATCTAGCTAAAAATTTATTTTAATATTGCTATAAAAAAAGATCTGTTATAAATATTAAGGTTGAATTTTTTTATTAGACTGAAATATAGAAGATGGAACGCAAGCAATTAATACTTTTTATATTTTAAGTCATCTGTGGTATCCCCGTATTTGTGCCTCTTAATAATTAACGGACAGTGTATATAATGCTATTAAATCATTCTTACCTACATATGCTCAACTTAATTTGTTGTTTATCCATAGAAATGTCAGATTAGCATTCATCATAAATGGCGTACTGCTTGTTATTGGAATTGTCTTAACGGCTGTTTTCCACGTTTACTACAAACTCCATCCAACAGCAATTGTAGTTTACATTCATCCTGAGTAAGTCTATTACTTATTATTACATTAGTAATCTATAAATGGATCGATGAGTCCGAAAACCAGTCACATCCATTTTTTTCCAAAAATTATATTCTTGCATTTTAATGTTTAACTGTGCGTAGATACATAATTATAATATGAAGAAAAAATTTCTTTCTACTTGGTTTAGTATATTTTGTACAGTGAAATCTCAATTTAGTTCGAAAACATGCCATATCCTGGAGATGACCTGTTCTTGGAATAAACTTGGAATTATACCGTCAGGTGGCGACCGTTGTTGCTTATGAAATTGCTCGCACAATCTAACATTTAATAATTTAGTTTAGGATTGTTACTTTGTTGATGGTTTTTATCACACAATGATTGTTTAGAGGGTATTTCTTTAGATGATAAAAAAGGATAAAAATAATTATGAATTATAGGGAAAGGAGGTGACTACAAATAATATGATATTTGATTTCAAAAGCTGGTGATTGGAGTGTTGTGAAAAAAATGTGTCATCAAAATGCTCCTGTTGAAAAGCAAAAACGGGGAAAGAACAGTTTTAGGTGATGCATTTCAGCAATTTTACTTATAAAAGCACTACACCTAAAGTTGAGGTGCTTCCTTTCATTGGTGGTTTATCCAAATTAATATTTGGTCTGTACACAAAAAGTACTCTGAAAGTGGCAACAGGAGCAGTTTAGGAAGCCTATTTTGGAAAAGTTTTCATAAATCTCAAGAAAATTGCAGAAATAAAAAATTAAAAAGAATTTTGCTATATAAAACAAATTAATTTTTGTGTTTCTATGAAGAGAGAGGCATAAACTGTTTTTAAATCATTATAATGTGTTTAATCTTAATATTTTACCGACCGGTAGCGGTTCGAACATACTATGCCCTTTCACCGCCCGTTCAGCTGCAGATCGTCCGAGACACCGGCTCGGTTTCGGCCTAGACTGACGCGCGGACTTCACCACTAAATATCAAAAATTACAAATATGATATAAAATGCAACGTTAAATCATCAATATACTGGTTACTGTATTAAAAAGTAGGCGTAACTATCTTTCTTTAACTAATCTTACAAAATATTTTGCTACCACTTTATTAGAACTTTTCCAGAAAGCGGAGCAGTTGGCATCCCTGCCTTCATATCGATGAAAAAATCCCGACTTTCCTCGCAGGAAAATCTAGTCGCACCCAGCTGCACGATGAAAAATCCCGACTCTTTTCGCAGGAAAATCTGGTCGCACCCAGCTGCACTCGAGAAAACGACAGCTGAATTTTTTTCAGGGCATGCTGAATTGGTGGAAAACGTAGTCACCACAGATCGGTCAAAAGTCGATTAATCGACGACCGGTCGGTAAGCGCTGAGAACAAAACGTCGATTAATCGACAGCCGGTCGGTAAAGTGTTAATATATAGCAGTAAAATGAACAGTTTGTCTGTCTATCCTTTATAACTCCAGAATAATTTGTGGTAGCATCTCAGAATTTGAACAATGAGTGAAAGGGGTCATTTCAGCCCCTATCCTAAAAATTTATTTAAAATTTCAGTTAGATCATTCTTGAGAGACGTTTGAGAAATGGAATTTTTTCATTGGCTTAGAATTTGCCATTGATAAAAATTAAACAACACATGATTCTGCTTTTTTATTTTTTTAATACTTCAAGAGTGACATCAATGTGTTTGCTAACCTAAAGCTCTCATTGATAAAAAAGTTCATTGCACGTTTTTAAATATTTAATTTTTTTTCATTATGTCATATAAGCTCAGTGATCAACGTGTATTTAATAGGCTGACAACGTCAGAAAATTAGTTTTTCTAAATTTATTTGAAACTATGTGTTTATTTTTTTCATAGTTACGCTTTAAAAAAGTGATTTTATAGAATTAATTAGTTTAAATTTAACGTTAGTTGTACTAAAAACTATGAACAAAAAGCAACGTAATGGAGAAATGGTACCAAATTATTTAAGAGAAACGTAAAATTTCGCCACATTATCATTGACTCCAATGCTTTTAATAAAGTTTGTTGTTTCATACCCCTCAGGTCCAGGAACACTACATGACACGGTGTCTCCATTGTTATTATGTTAGAATTGAAATTTAAAAAAAAAAAAAAAAATTATGTACTAAAAAGTAAAGTTAATGGAGAAAAGGTATTTCGTAGTTTAAGTGAACCGTAAAAAATTTAAATTCTATTATTGATGCTAATGATGCTCAATTAGCTTTGGTAATAGGTACTACTAATTAAAATAATAAAAATATAAATTGTATAATATAAATCAAAATTTGTATTTAAAAAAACGGTACTAATTATTTTAAGGGAAACGTAATGAATCCCTTTACCATTATTGACGCTTAATTAATTAATCATGCTTAATTAATTATTTTTATCAGATGCTTAATTGTTTAATTTTAAAAAATGGGCACTACTGGTGTTATAGTAATTTTTACAATTTTAATCGATTCTAAATTTTTTAAAGTACGTATAATGTATTACATTAGTATATTCGATACCTATTAAAACTGTTTTAATACTAGGCAGTTTTAATAAAGATAGTGAGGGAAAAGAAATTTTTACGGTTCTTTCTGGATTTTAAGTTCCGGAGAAAATCGCATGATTGTAGTAAATTTTGATATTCCTAGAGCAACAGCATTCTGTCAGATACTCAATACATTTAATTAATTTAATCTATGGAATTTTTAAAAGTGTGTTTTGCTTCATTTAATGTAACTTAAAGGACAAAAAAATAATAAAAAAAATTTAAACAATTATAAATATTTAAATTTTTATTCTTTTTGTTGACGTATGCTTTTCAGTCTTGTTCAGTATTGATTTATTGAATTTTTTTTTTACCCCGTATGATGAACGGATATTCAGCTATTGCATATTTTATTTTGATTCCAGAGATATAGCTTACTTTGTTGAAAACGGATACTTCAAATCATATTTACATATTTCATCCTATAATGTGGGCTTAACTGTTGGGTACTTTTTAGCGACTCATCAGAAAATACGAATACCAAAGGTAAGTATTTTAGTTTCTTTTTCACTATATCGGATCGGGTTTTTTGTACTTTATATATTAAAATTCAATTAGTTTTTATTTATTTATTAAATTCATTTCAATAAAATACGTATTTCTTTCGTCAAAATTTTGAATATTACCTTTATTTATTCAAAATAAATTATTATTATTATAATAACTGTGTCTCAACATCAGATATTAATGAAATTGTTGAATTGTAAACATAATCAGTAAGCTGAAATAAGACGATTATCGTCGGTGTGCTAGACAGACCGCTTTGAGTTGACATCTACAAAACAAATTTTTTTAATAATTTCAATAAGTTTGAGAATATGAAAAACGAATTAATTCTAATAAATAATAAAAACGTAGTATATCGATGCTGCGACAGTTCATAATTCATTTGAAAGGGTTGGAATAATATAATAATAATGCATAATAAGGTATATTTTCGATAGAAGACTTATATCAAACTGTGCCTTATTTTTTTCTATATTTTTTTCAGACAGATATTTTGCAATTTTCTTGAATTTCCTCTGGATATTAATATAATACACAAAAACATCTCGTTGCACTGGAAATAGGGCTGTTTTTCTCCGGAAATACTTGCGTGAAAGTGGCTTATAATTATATTGCCTCAAGTTCACAAAACAATAAAATGTTAGTCAAACAATAATTACTCAAATTTAAAATCATAAAACTAGATATTTAGGAGTATAGCACTTATATCCCATATTTTTTTCAAGTTAGAAAAAATATAATTTATTACTCAATTAGCCTGATTTTTTTCAGGCCATTTGCAATTAATCATGCGTATTATAAGTTGTTTCATTAAGGTTTATTACAATAAGCCTAAATTAATTTAGTCTTAATATTTTTGTTGCGTTTCTTAATTAGCCTAAAATATATGAGCTTATTCTATTAACCTTGAAAAACACAGCTCTAATTAGACAAATCTAAGCACGTTTCCAAATAACCTGGTGCATTGCAAAATGTACGGCGCTTTTTTAATATTCAATTGATTTCAGACTTTTCCAATTAGCCTACAGATATATGTATAAGTCATATTGTGAGACAGTGATGGACAGCGTAAAATAAAATAGAAAAAAAGTCATTGCAAATTTAGCAAAATGTTTCAAAGCTCGTTTTAGCTAGCACTTTAATTTTGCATAGTCATATCAGGCTACAATAAAAAAAAACTTAACGCCTATTGGGTTAATCTAAATCAATTATGTGCCGAAAGAGTTATTTTGTAGAGATATAAAAAGTGTATACATCTGAAAAGAAAATTTATTAAGTAATTTATCTGAATATTTGTAGTGTTAGTTACCACTTTAGATTTAAATATTTCACATAAATAGTATTTCATATCACATCCAATATTAATTCCTCAACTTCGATCAGCTGTTATGGATCTACAATTGTAAATATTCTATTCTCTATCTGTAAATACATCGTAATCGACTTGGTAAATATTATTTTACATGTAACTCGGAACTTTTCGTTATCGTTCTTGTATATATTATTTCATATTAATCGGATTTTTTTTAGTGTAATTAATTCATTATAGTGTACTTTCAATTTCGATATCATTCATTTGTTGCCAATGGCAAGTAAATCCGTTGAAGAGGCAAGTGCCGTAAGGCAGATACCTCGAAAATAACACTCACATTAAAGCATTAGAAATTTTGATTCCATATCTTTTCTTCCAAGACTCATTAATCAATGCCTAAGTAGTTTCCAGAATTGTCAACTGCTCCGAATTCGACGAAACATTTTAGAAAATTAGTTGAGAACAACAATATGAGATTTACAAATTTTGAGGTTAATTTTGCTAACATTTTAACTCATGGTATGCTGGCAACTTTTCCAAAAAATTTATAGCTTTCATAGATTAAAATTTTTAAAACGTAGTGGGTAAAGATTTCATAAAAGTTGGAGCAAACTTGTCACTATAGCTACTACTTAAATTTTAAAAAAAAAAATTTATGACGAACGATTGTGGTACGGATTACACATATACTGAATCATTTACCTTTGTAGAAATGACAAATGGATAATTTCTTTGAAAAACAGTGGAAACAACGCAATTTTGCTACCACTTTTTAAACTTTCGTATGGATCGCAGAAAGTTTATAAACGTATTAAGTGACCCGCTTACAAAAAAAAACCACACTTAAGTGACCCGCTTGTGTTGAAAAGCTGAAAACGGCTTAACTGTAACAAAGTGCTTTATCACATAAGCCTTTCAATTATTTAGAAGAAGTTTTGAGTAAAAACCCTATAAAAATCGAATTTACTAAAACTAAACCAATAATCATACATTAAAAGACTACCACTCGAAGATATTTGTCCACTGTCCAGAACAAGTTGACATCTCTGAGTTTCAGGAATCCAGGCACATTTTCATGTCCACTTTTAGAAGAAATTATTAACATTTATATAATTTATTTTTTCATATTATAAATAAGTATAATATGTAAATAGTTGTAAAGTACATATAGTGTAAGATTTGTACTTTATAATAAGGAAAATATTAAAAGAATTATTTTTCTTTCAGGTCGTGAATATTATAGGCTGGCTTACAGCCATCACTCTCAGTCTGGCCGTCTTGTATGGAGTTTATGACTGGAACCAAGGAAATGTTCCAGGAGTGTTTGTCTCAACTTTATACGCATGCACCAGTAAACTAGTCTGGTCTTTGGCACTGGCCTGGGTTACAATCTCATGCATGACCGGAAATGCAGGTATGTAATACTGTAAGATCTTAAGAAAAAATAAAACTTATATTTTAGATTATTTTTGTAAAATATTAGAATGAAATTTACATCAAAAATCATTTACAAATCGATGCAGTTTTGGCATTTCCTATATTTATCAAAAAGAAGCTTTTGGAGTCGCACAACGAGTCAATAAGAAATATCTCACACAGCTTTTGGTTTTATGATTAAATTTTATCTTACTTCGCGATTTCAGCGGTTTTGAATGAAACATTTTATACGCGCAATTTATGTTCTACATATGAATCAAGCATATAAGATATTACTACAGATAAGACAAAAAAAAATTTATTTTTCTTGAATTGACAATTGAATACTTTCAGCTCCAGAAGAAGAAAACGTGATTCGGTCTAATCATGTGATTTAAATCACGTGGCCAGTTTAACGTTACTGCAATTATGACTTAATTTATTATGCAATTTCGTTTATTATTAATTTTCGAATCATATTTAATTGGATACCTGAAAGCATTATCATGAGTGCGTCGAACATGATTGACTTCTTAATCATGGCGTAAACGAATGCCACTATGACATCTCCCGCATGCATCCTGTTGTAAATGAAATGTAAGTCGGCAGGTATGTCAAGAAATATTTTGAAATGACATTTAATTGTTTAAAAACAAAAATAGTTTCTTGGCGCATATTAACTAGTCATGAGAAACTATTTTATGTGAATTATGATTCTATTTCATAGGCTTTGCTAGCGCAGTCCTAAGTTGGGATGCTTTTGTACCATTCGGACGACTCACATACATGACATACCTAATACACCCTATCATACAGTTTGTGTACATCGGAAGTACAAGAACACTGATTAGGTCAGAACACAGGACTTTAGTAAGTGATATTTGTTTCTTATGTAATTTTAGTTCGATTATAAAAATAATTGCTTCAATAATTAGTAACGCAAAAAAATGGAATAAACTTACAGATTTTGTTGGTTCTCTATTGTTCATTAATTTAAAGTCAATCACACCATCAAATATTGAACTCAATATCGTATCAAAATATAATATTTGATATTAGCGAAATTCATTCAACATTATTGTAGCAGAGAGAGATAATTTGGTTCCAGATTATCAAGTTGTTCATAAAATAGGCTAAGTTCAAAAATTAAGAAAAATGTTGTCGAAACTAGTAGAATATTGATTAATTTCAAGAAGTTTGAAAATCGATTTATTCAGATATTCGAAAAAAATTATAAAATTTCTGAGTACAAAAATTTAAGAAAATAAAATTAAAATAAATAATAATAAATAAATAAATAAAAATAAATTTAAAAAACTTTCTAAGTCTCCTTTGCCAAATAATGCCCCGTCGAGATATCGGTGACACGCGCATTCCTTGCCGTCAACTTGTCGGCAGTGAAAATTTTTGGAGTTGAAATGCTGTTTTTTCGTTGAAATAGTCTAAAATAATTTTAAGTAATTATAAATTTCTTTAAGAGGGGCGAACTTTATTGAAAAGTACTATTGCTTTTGATGGATTGGTATAATTAAAACAAAATTGATCTGGATTGGTATAATTAAAACAAAATTTATTGGTAAAACACGCCTACTTCCTTCACCAAACATGTCTACTATAAATGACACATGTTATAGCGTGTTTCCATTAGTTTACCACATGATGGTACTTCCCTTTAATCATACCATAAGACTATGGAGTCCCACCATATTATGTCATACATAATCAATGGTTTCCATAGGCCTACGGTGTCTTGACATAGGAATGCCTTACAAATTTCTATGGTAACCATCGGCGTATGATGTCTTGCCATATAAATGCCACACGAATTTCTGAGGTATCTTAGTATATAAGTTTCTATGGTTGCCATAGGTTACCACAGATGACAGATTCTCCTAAAGGTACTTAAAAATTTAATATGAACATACAGTTTTGGTTTAAAAAAATTAGGAGCTTAGTTGGATTCCTTTTAAACTACTTGAGTATTCACTCGTGTCATCGAAAAGTGCGAAAATGCATTTAGAGATGAAAAACTAAAAGCTTTGAATTTCGATTTCACATATCTTCTTATGATCAGAGTGCAAAAAAGTTTGTTGAAAATTTAAAATTGTCCATCTCGTTAACACATTTAATAAGAATAATAGGTATTCACAAAAGTATATCTATATTAAACTTCTATTCCATTATGGGAGGATATTTGCACGATATATGGCTTTTTGAACACAAAAGAATAGCTCAACTACACACAAGATCAGTATTTAATTTATTTTGAATCATCATCATCATAAGGGCATGACAGCACTTTGAGGGCCTTAGCCTTCTTTAGAAGATTTTTCCAACCCACTATTTTACTGACAACTCTCCGCCAATTATTTACTTCAATTACAAAAAAGTCTTGGACTGAAATTAAAATTTAAATACTGTTGTATAAAAATCATCCTTTCTCTTAGGAGATCAAATCGGTACAATTTTTGTCGTGTATAGAGAAAAATTCCGCGTCCCAATGAATTTTCGGAATTTATCTACAACTTTCAGGATTACATTTCTCCTATATTTTTCTCCAGACATTATAAATGCCTTTGATCTGTTTTCGCGTCAAAAAGGGTAACGCTAGTACAGTTATTTTTATTCTAGTCGCCTGAGATTATACAATTCATAAAAAGTGCAGAGCACTAACACCTGCATGCATTGTCAATTATAGAAAGTGCTTCTTAAAGAAAAGTCGCTTCGTAACTTCACGATTATCGAGAATATTAAACTGGTAAACCATTCCCACAATAGCCAGTTGTCAAATAAGGTGTTCATGAAGGTAGGAGGCAATATAGTCTGCCGTACTAGTCACCTTTACTACCCTGCTTCTGAATTTTTTTAAAAAATCTAAATATCTTTTGGTTATTTTAAGCAACGAACTTTTTTTTCTTCTTTCCTCTAAGCCCTGAGCATGTACCTAGGTTATGAAAAACCCTTAACCATATAGCCCGGACTTGGCCACTAGTCCAGCTCCACTACAGCCTAGGAACGGGTCCAGTCAGCGGTATTAATTTTGAAAATATTCTACTTAACATGATATTTAAAAGAAAAAAAAACAATGACACAGTGGTTAAGGCAAAGAGTTCTCATAGAAGGAACAGCTGCTATCAATCGAACTGATGCTAAGTGTACTTCAAGCCTCCACCAGGAATAGAACCCTGGATCGTTTCAATGATAGCTCAATGCCTCAACTACCTTGTCTGTTATTTGTTGCTTAAATTAACCACCTAAAATTCCGATAAAAAAAACTTTGAAAAAAAGAAAGAGTTAGCATCTTAAAATAATGCATTGATACTCACTGAAAAAAAAAATGGTAAAATGAAATGTAATTGCTTTTCCAGCTTTTTATGTACTGTAGCAACGTCGTTCTGGGTTTTATGATGGCTTGCATATTTAGTCTTCTGTTCGAGTCTCCATTCATGGCTTTAGAAAAAGTTATGTTCTCATCTGTTCATTCTAATGTGAAAACAAAGAATGCTGAAGAAGAAAGCAGCCCTAAATCAACATTTCAAGCTAAACACGCTTGGATCGACCCCGTTCTCCAGACTGATCGAAATGTCAGTGTTATCAATGTCAAACAATTTGTTCCAAATTGTTAAATTATGGATACGTTGTTATACTCCATAAGAGCTTATGTAATTACGTTTGATATTTTGACAAAGATTAAATCACTTGTAATAAATCCATCACATTCCTTTTTAAATATTTATGTGTATGTGATAATAATGACCAGTTAAAAACTTGCAATATGTTCTATTTGCCTTTCGAAAGTTTCAATTATTGTGAATAAGAAATTTAGTTACTAAAAGTTTTACAACTGAGGTAGGTTGGTTCTGATTTGAACTAAGAGATTAACTTCTTCAGATCTGATATATTCTAAAAAGGAATAAAAAATATTTCGTTATTCCCATTCATATAGAGAAAAAAATTTTGAAAAACGTGACGGAAGTGAGAAAATAATACCATGCCTCCACAGTCATATCTACCAAGAATGTGAATTTGAAGAAAATGTGCGTGGGTGTGAAATGTTTTCATAAATTTAAATTTCAGTAAAAAAAAATAATAATAATACAATTTACAAATGCAAACCCTTCAACTAATATCCATAATTTCAGAACATATTTTTTCTATTGGTAAGAAATGTTACTTTCTAATATTTTAATAAATTGAACTTAAAAGAAATTTGGCCACTACTCTATGAAAAGCAATTTAAACAGAAGTATAAAAAGCAAAGAATTCTTAACTGAAAACGAAAATATTACAAACAGCCCCGTACCTATATTGTCCTTTTCTATTTTAATGTTTGTGTCATCCATAGGTCGACTATATGTCTTGCCATGTCATAATTTTACCTCTTTGAGTCATGTCAAATCCGATGAATCAGTGAAAGTCCACCAGGTCTGGTACTAAACCAGAACAATTCTAAGTCTAAAGGTCATGTTTCTAAGTTCTCATAACAGCTTCCACAAAAATTCTATTTGTTTTAAATTTTTGTGCTTGAGTTCACTACTACTCAAAAAAGTACTTCGCAAAGAGTCCTTAATAGAGGAGGGTACAGTAAAAGTCATTACAAAAGTTAGTCATCTGCTTTTAATGTTTTCCTAAATCATAAATATCCTGAACTTGACTATTTTTAATATGTTGGTGAAATTCCTGAAAGTTTTAGTTATTAATCATTTACCTGACTGGCTCTTATGTTGCACTAGTGAAGATTGTGCCTTTATGAAAAGTGTGGTGGCAGTTTTGTAAATAAATTAAATGGAAATTTTCTTTAATTAGCTACTAATTTTATTTTGTTAAAAAATGCAACAACTGTTCGAATTCAGAACAAGATACATATCATGTGATATACAATGAAACTTCCACGAAAGACCACCTCTTTGTAGCGACCTTCTCTATTTACGACCACTTTTGGTAGGAGGCAAGGAATTTTTTCCATAGGTTTTGTGTTGAAGAAAACCTATAGGAGAGACCATTAAAACCTCTCCCATCAATCGAGTGAATCTCAGCATCAAATGCGGAAAAGGTCAAATAAGGAAAAACAAAAAAATATCATAACAAAAAAATACAAACTAAACAAACAAGTAGATTAAAATGTATTCAAAATAATTGTGTGAGGCTCGTATTAAGAGATCTCTTATTGATATCTGAAAGAGATCTACAACCTCATTGTTACTGTCAGAGTATGCTAAAGACGATGCTATCAAAATTAAGTTGAAAGTTAAATAAGAAAAAAAAAACATTTCAGAAAAAACTAAGCATCTTAAACAAGCAAACCTCTTCTCCTCTTTCAATGCTAACGAATTTTTCTGAAATAAAATTAATTGCAAACTTAAACAAAAAACGTAATTGTTTATTTATTCAAAATAGCTCTATCATTCATAATTGGTAAATTAGTTTTTACAAAAAATTACATCAGTAGGGATAATTTTAATTGACGCTGATTTCTATTCATCGATCCAATTTTTATGACGACAACACAAATGGCATTAACGTACCAAAAAAAGTACACTGACTAAAATTAAAATCGTTTGCGAAAAATCATGTACCTTCGATAACGTTCAAGTAAATAGAGGTAACCCCTAGGAACGACCAACATGCATTAACAGGGTTCCTGTGGTCCTTGAAAAATTTTCGTAAATTTAGGTTAATGCTAAAAGATATTTCTTATTTTAATATACCACTTTGTTGCCAAGTGGATTCGAAGCCAAGTTATTATTGCATACATCCTTGCCTTGGGTTCTTAGACAATTTTTAGCGGTAGTTACACAGAAATTAAATTATCGACATTTAAAATTTACAAGATCCTCGGGAACCCTGATTAATGATTATTTTATTATGGAACAGACCAAGAGGTTTCACTGTATAATTTTATATCATTAATAGAAAATCGTAGATAAAGATATTCAAATTTACCATTTGTAAATGCTAAGAATAAGAGAATTGTGTCACCAATCATTTACAATTTTTAAAAAAAAGAGACCATTGCATTTTAATAAAGTCATGTTCAAAAAATGAAACATTGGCATTTAAACTACTACTCTATAATTGTCTATCCCTCTATAACTGTTTAGGTAAAAATGTATTAGTTAGCAGCGCTGTAAACGTTTAACCCTTTCGCTCCGACTGTCACAAATACGTGCCAGCATAAAACCATATCAACCAGGGTAAAAAGATAAAACTGGTAATCAAAGTAATTCTTTAGCAGTTTATTTGTGGGTGGAGTTATAATTGTTTGATTTATTTAATTCACCATTACTTTGTTCAAAATAAAACAATTTAGTTATACTTTGAATTAACATAGATTATATATATGATTAAACTAACAGTAATTAAAGTAAAAGCAAAGTAAGTCTGTCAAATTAGAAACGACTACAGTCGCAGTTAAAGTTACCGTTTTTTTATTTAATTACGTCCTGATCCTGATTTTGTACGAATGCTTTTCTGAATCACCCGTCCCCAAGGGGTTAATGAAAATAAGATCTTGCCACTAAAAGCTTACAAGACAATACACACGGTTTGCAAACGTACCAAATAAGACATGGAGATCACTACATGAAGTGGTTGCTAACATTAAGACGGAAAAATAGTAACATTTAGAATGGCAGGTAATTTACAGGGGACAAAGGTGCCTCAGAGACATCCATGAAGTGGAGATGATTATCTATTAGTCCAGGCTATGTCAACAATTACAGTCACTACACATTCAAGATAATGTTATTTTTAAATTTAAGTGAAATCTAAAGCTTGCCTTTTTTATTAACTTTAAACTAAAATCTTTTTTTGCTAATTTAAATTAAATAGACTACCACTTTTTAATTTTTCCAGTGATTCACGTTTAGACTTAAACCCGTGAGAACCTTATATGAACTTATTCTAATTATTAATCAACCGAGGAGATTTCCGTATCCTGATCTGCGGCAGAATAATCACCAAGTCTTAGCAACTTCGGCCTGCGAGAAATTAGAAAAAAACATCACAGAGACTAACTCGAAATGCATAACTCGAATGTTAAACCAAACAAATGTCACCAAAATAGCTTAGTCGGTATGCACGTTTCGTTTCTTCCTCTAAGATAAAAATTAACATTTGTAGTTCCTTATAGTCATTCGAAGAAAGAACTGTTCTCAAATGATGACTCAGGGCGTTAATGAGGTAATAAATCGAGATGTACGTAGTATCTCATCTAGGGGATTCGGGATTTGTTGAACCACGTTTCGGTTTAGATAATAAGTAAGAATGTTACACTTGTGCTAAAGTTAGTTAGAAATATAAGGTCATCTAGGAGATAATCAGATAGAACACCACATGGTCGTTGCGTACCATATGGCACCGAGCGTTTTAATTCACGAAGAATCATTACCCGATTTCATCATATATCTCTGCAGGTCAAGAAATTGAACCTACTAGATGACAAAGTTACTTGAGTTTTATAAAATAATAAAAAATATTTTCTACAAAATTGAGTGGTAGATATAATATTTCAAAACTATTATTATTTATTAACATTAAGTATTTGTTTTGCTTCAAGAACGGTGTAATTTATGTTTGTCCAATGAATCTATGAAACCTTATTTATGAAAAATAAAAAATAATTTACACGTAATTACATTACTTACAATCTAAAATTCGATTACGTTTTTCTAAAATTTTTACCGCCACGCGACAGGAAATAAAGAGTAACGCCTACTTTAAAATCAATAGTCGAAAGCGCTGACTGGGGCCATTCTCACTGCTACCGATTGCATTAAGTTTACTAACCCAAATAATTTCAACATCAATGGCCTTTGATTCAGTTTGTAATCATATAATTTACGGAGGTGGCCTTTTTGGTCAGGTACTCCGGTGCACCTATTACTAGTTTCCGCAGTTTCCTTATACTCCTATCTGTAACTTCGTATGTTATTAGAAAGTACAAGTTAGAAACTATGTATTTGTAAAAGCAATTGATCACACTTGCGCGAATCACTCGATTGGGTAGTTTTGATTGAACATAGCTGAGGAAAGGGACACTAAATTGATTGATTAAATGCTTGCTAAATTAGTTTCGAAGATGAGTGTAGTTTTTTTTTTTAATCTTTTTGACAATTGCAACAAGAAGTGAAGAAATAACACATAAATATATGCCCGTGCTCCCTTGCATTCAAGCTCCCTTCTACCAACTCGAAAAAAGTTTGGAATCATTTTATAACATTTAAAAGAGTGAGATATTCTGTGAATCATTGTTCGAAATGGTTAACAAAATGAAAATTTAATTCTCCTACTATTGAAGTGAAGCCAGGGCTGAAAGCCCATATATATCGAAACGGAAAAGAGTAAACACTGGTTACTAATAAATTTCCTTTTTCAGTTTTTTTTCGAGAATAATAAAAATTTATAACTACCAATTGTTTTTAACGAATGCAATTTTTATATTGAATTGCTTCATCAAAGTGAAAAATTTCGTTACAGTAAATTGCCATTGTTGAGAATCGAATAACTCCTCCCGAATATTATCTAATATTGAAATAGTTCTTCTACCAGTATTTTCTCTTTTCCGTCCCGCTTTCAGACCTGAGTGAAGCTATTGAATATCTAGTAGTAAACCATGACATTCGTTTACGCCACGATTCAGAAGCCAATTAAAAGAAAGATTAATAATTTTTTAATAACTGCTTTAATTAATTTAATAACCAAATAAATTTCGATACATTTTCATTTAATAACACTTCATGATTGCCAAACTTTGAATATTGCTTCTCTGTTTTTCATAGATTCTCAAGACTTCATCATGACCTAGAAAATAAGAATATATCTTTAAAGAATTTTTTTAAGTTTGTCACATTATAAGCAGGGGTGAAAGCGAGACGGAAAAGAGGAATGCATACCTGCCAACTTTTACTCCCTTCCATTATTATTTTTCCCAGTGGTATTAAAATGGAATTAAAACTTCAGTTTTAAGCAAACAAATACGTTGTTTTTGAGAAAACTTAAGTTGACAACCATGACAGTAACGCATATTAATATATGTGCTTAATTTTTGTAAGAATAGTGGTGATCAATATCATTTAAAAATTAAGATTATAAAAGAAAAAATAGTATATATTTACTACCACTTTATATATGAAAATAAAATCTTACGGAAAATCCGGAAGAGTTGGCAGGTATGGGAATGGCTGGTAGTAAAACAATTTCGGTAGAAACTAGTTTCCGGGAGGAGTTAACTAATTATTTTTAAAGCTATTCAACAATATCTACATTATCCCTGGAACGTTGGAAATGTAGAAAATCTTAGTATTCGGCGCGAAGCGCCGCTAACTGATTCGTCTAAACTGTAGAGTCCTAAGTTGAATGGGCATAGATTTCAAGTTGAAACATATGTGATGAAAAAATTTACAGTGAATTACTGTAAGTCCTGGGAGGATGATACATTATCCCTGGAAAAGAAGCAGTTTTATATATAGACTAAAATTATAAAAGAAATCTTGATAGTTACAGATATTTTATTTTTCTCAAAAAAGATGCTAAAATGATATGTCTTTCGTACCAGTTTTTGCACTTTTCCGTCATGATTATAAGTTATATTATTTTACATTCTTCCTCTGTTAAACATATCATCACACGCCGCCGCTACTTTCTATTGAGACATTGATCTTATTTTCATAAGCTCGCTCTGTTTTGTTGAAGTATATGGTGAAAATCAATAAATAAGTGAGTAAATAAAAGGGAATGTATTGCCGAAACACAGATAAATTTTACAACATTGTTATTTTTCAACTTTTTTTTTTAAAAAAAAAAGGAGAGAATGAAAAAGCTTTGGATATTATAATGTTAATAAAGTAAACAAAGGGAAATAATGAAAGAGTCATGTAAGAAAGTTAACAGAATAATTAATTATAAAAAATATATTTTGATATTTAACAATCTAATGTTTTGTCTTGCAACCAGATATAAGAGTGAAGCGTAGTTTTTCCTATCATCTAAAATTTACCGGAAAATTCTGAGTGATAAATAACAGAGATATTCCATATGAGTATACTATCCCCATGTCCACACTCTCCCTTACATGCTTACTTGACGTAAAATATCAAAACAAACTGCCAAGGTTCCGCATCATCAATCACCTCCTTTTCTTAACTTAGATAACAGTATAAATTAAAACGAATGTTAGCGAATAAGGCATGTTTACACGGTTCAAGTTCTTGAATCCGAGAAATTGGAGGGATTTCTCTGTCCAAGAAATTTGATAATTCGTTGACACTATCCAAGTTCTTGAATGTCACTGATTCGTCGAAAGAAAAACTTGCGCATGCGCATTGTTCATATTCAACATTATAAAATAATATTTACATAAATTTAAAATTACTAAATAAATCCAAATAAAATCATAATAACACAAATAAACCGTACCAGATCAATTTATTTGGACTAAAATATATGAAACCAGACAACAAAATGACATAATTTGCTGCTTGCTGACGTCACAAAACCTAAGACGCTGATTGGTTAAGGGGGAAAAAAACTTGGATGGAAAGTAGAACATACTCTACTATGGTCCAAGAAGTTGGACCAAGTTCTTGAATTATTGTTTACACGATCCAAGCTCAAAGCAAAACAAGCTTCCATCAATATCAATCAATCTCTGTCCAAGAAATTGGATCGTCTGAACAGGCCTTTAACTAGTTGTTATGTATATGTTTATGTATGTTGTAATGATATTTTTTAAAGAAGTAAATTTTGCTATGATTTTAAATTAAATGGAGGAAACCTTACTTAAAAGTGATTATAATTTAGTGAATTTTTAATCGACTGCAGATAGGTACAAAATTTTCAATGACACTTCCACATGGCATTTAAAAATAAATAAATACAAACTTATGAAAGTTTTAGAAAAGTTAAATTAAGGGTCGTTTCCCGCTATACTTGACTTTAAAAATTTTATTGATCTATTTCCCACTGTGGAACTAGTGACCACCTCCAAAAGATTATAATAACCACATCTTTAAAAAAAATTATATATTTAAAAAAATAAGGGATTATAATAATATTAATTAAAACATTACAGTAAAAACAAACTTGCATCGAAATGATCTTGAATGCGTTGTTATTATAAAATAATATAATATTTTGATTTCCACATACTGAAATCGAAAATAAATTCTGATTGCTGTATCTGTATTCTCCCTCATTAGTTTCTCTTCACCGCAATGAATATTGCGATGAAGTCAGTATCCTACAATACAATACAAGATGATACAAGACAATATCAAACAATATCAACGTTGGTAGAATATTGGAAGAATAAATGCGTTTTGTTAACTGATAAAATACAGCGTCATTCTAAAATTCGACAATTTTTTGCAGGTAATAATAAATTCGAAATATTCAAAAATCCTCAAATAGCTTCATTATAAAATGTTTATATTTTTAATGTTAAAAGGAAAAAATGACATCTAAGCACACAAAAAAAAATCATTTTTTAAAATAATTCTAAGATAATATTTCCACATAAGTTTTTAATTCAGCTATGCAATAAATAAAAAAAATGCTCAAATTATATTAGAATGTTTAGAAAATAATTTCATTTTTTTTTTTTTTTTTTTTTTTTTTTTTTTTTTTTTTTTTTTTTTTTTTTTTTTTTTTTTTTATGAAAATGAAAGGGGGTTTTCTTAGAGTGAATAAATATTTTATTAATTCATACAACAGTCTCTGCTAGTCCAGAAGTTTTTGCGATCTTTTTGACAGTAGCATGATTCTACACGCATTTTGTTCCTTGCTAGCAAAAAACTGATAAACGTGACTTTTGACCTCCTATTTGAAGTAAAGGTTTTACCGTCCAAAAACTATCCAGATATTCGAATAGTATTGTACACAACCCATTCCTCGTCCCCAGTGATAATGCGCTTCAAAAATTAATAATTTTCTTGACGTTTGAGAAGCAAATCACAAACATCAACACGACGTCACAAATTACTTCTCATAAGAACATTGATCAACCCATAAGTCAAGCTTTGAGATTAACCCTAGAATTTCCCAAATTATCGTGAACGGTTGTTGAATTAAATAAGTGTACTGTCTATTAGTGCATTCATCAGCTTAAATTGTTGTGATACATCGTCGTGCATATTTAATCGAAATTTTGTAAACCAGTTTCGGCATTGGCACACTGCCGACGCATTTTTGCCATGCAGGTCGAAAAATTTTGTCCTTCCCTGAGCAGCATTTTTACCTTTTCGATTGTAAAAAAGTAGAACATGCCGAAACTTCTGCTTCTCACTTTCCGTATTTTAAAGGGTACCAATTAAATACTTCTGTGTAGAAACAATCTTGCAACTTAAGAGTAAAGTTGGTTTACGAAAATAATGAAGTCGTTTGATTGAAGGGGGGAAAAAATGAAATTACTTTCCGAACAACTCAAACATTTGAGTATGTACTCACGTTTTAAAAACCTAGAGATTAATAATAATTACAGATTATGTGACAGCAATGTGTAGTTTTTCTTTTTTTTTTTTTTTTTTTTTTTTTTTTTTTTTTTTTTTTTTTTTTTTTTTTTTTTT